AAAAATGAACAGAAACTTAAAATACGAAATCCAAAGCACACAAACACACAAGTAATACCTAAATAAAGTTAAGGAAGAGCAGCGAGTTAGATTGCATTTACTAATGAGATTTCACAAATGCCTCTGTCTAAAAGAATTTCAGACTGGCCGCCAGGACTGTCAGGAAACATCCCTTCAAAATTCCACTGCTCTAGCTTTTCATGTTCCCGAATTTGCAACTTACCCAGAAAAAACTTTCACGGGCCCGTACGTAGGTAAAAATTTTGTTTACCCGAGGGCAGTGTTTGAGCTCATTAATACTAACTTGGACGGGGAACATCTCCTTGAGATTTCAGCCTTCTAGCTTCTCAGATGCCCCAGTTATGAACTTACCCGTAAAAAATTTTGGTGGGCTCGTACGCGGATACCACGTGGGCAAGGGCGCCCATTTTGAGGACTGGAGCCCGTACTTGCATGAAGAGTAAGTTCCCAAAGTTTCAGTCCTGCAGCTTTTGCAGGTCTTGAGATGAAAAATCGGCACAGACGCATACACAGACAACCCCTCGTCAATATGCGTTTTCTGCTCTACATAGCTGCAAAAAACACATAAAAACACAAACAATAATACAAAGAACGGCAAGACTATAGGCGAATCCAAGGGGAGGGGTGAAATTCTCCAGTGGCACAGGTACCAGCGCTCCAATAGCCTGGGCCTGTTCATAAACAAAACTAAAGTAACTCTAAGTAGCAGCGTTACAACTCTATCCCCAGTTTTTGCTTAATTCCAGTAGTCCGCCCCAATCATCGTTCCACTCTCCCCCCAAACCCCTTCGCGTCCTTCCCCCTTCGCCTTCCTGCCCCAGGAGTCCATCCTGGATCCACTTATGGGCGAGACGAATATCAAACGTTACCAGACTGCAACATATAATTAACGACAAGAAATTATGAGGAACGAAACAATCGCACTATAACAAAACATGCTAAAAACCAACAACAAGAAATGCCAGTGGCACGCTTGGCTGGCCCACCAATTTGAACGTGGATTGATGTGGAAGCGGTTAGCACAAGATCATAGACGATAGGAAGTTTTCTGGTCGAAAAGATGAAAAAACTTGCGACAAACCAAAAAAATAGCAGGGCGCACCAGACTAGCTGGTGCGATCATGCGTTTTGTGCAATTCAGCCCATCGAACGATTGCCTATTAATGATTTTTACTGCTTTGTACTTTAGTTTATGCAAAAATAGTTCAAACTTTGAAGAATAGTTAAAAATTTCACGCACCAGCGCATAAAAGCTGAATTCGAAACCTTGAAGGGTGAATATCT